TTTGTACTGGTTATGTGTAACGATTAGAACTGACCGAAACATAACTTACTCGAAAAGGAAAGCTCATCATGACATTCCACACCCAGACATTGTCGGGAACATGCAAACCCTCAGATTTTGGGGAACTCCAAACTTCCGCCATATATACCCTCTTGTCCAAATCCAACTATAGTGAGATACATACACATGCCTTGCATATAACATATCTATACATGATATTCTCTCATATCTATACATGATAATTATATGTTATATATCATTCAAGAGATTTGAACATCTCTATAGTTTTGTATGACTTTACACGTACGTTCGTGTTGACTCTTTCAAACCAAAGAAAAAAGTATCAAGGAAATATTAATGGAGATCGAGTAATCATGACATGTTTACAGTTTTTGCACTCATGGAACTGAAATATGCTTTGGGACTTGTTATCCAGTAATGATTTTTTTTTTCTTGGTGAAATATCCAGTAATGATTTGTTGCCCTCAGTGCAATGATTCAGTCAAAAAAACATTATCGTACAATTAGTCAAGACCACACGCAAATACAGTTTATATTGTATTTCTTTGTCAAACATAGATTCGGTTTAAACCATTCAAGTTTGAAAGAATTAGTAATATATCTATCAATAAAAGGTAGACTGACAACAACAATAACGTAAAAAATAACCAAAATATTATGCTGGTTATTTTATATTATAAAACTACATTTTGTGCGTTTATGAAACTTGGTTATATTCAATTTAAATGAACGTGAAACCCCAAAATTCATTAAATTCTAGCCTTGCAACTTTGAATTGAAAATTATAAATTATTTTTTATCAGTTGGCTATATAATACTCTCTCCGTTCCTAAAAGATTCATATTCTAGAAAAATATTTTGTTTCAAAAAGATGTATATTCTATGTTTTCTATGAGAAAATTACAAGTTTCAAAAAAATTAACTGGTTTTATTAGATTACTATTGGCTAAAAATTGTTGAAAATTGAAAATTATTAAAAACGATAGTGATTTAATGTGTTTTCTTAATATGTGTGAAAATACTATAAAGTCTATCTTTTAGGAGTATATATCATATTAAAATGTATACAGGTTAATAAAATATTTATATCCATAGTGGTTAAAGCTCGCAATTAATTAATGTCACAGTAAAATTTCATAACCATCAAATAAGAAAAAAGAAGATTGGAACCCTAGTTGCAATAAGCACTCAGAATGAACAATTGTTTTTAATATATGTTCCACGAAATTAACCACACTAGCCCATGCCGGGTAATTGTTACCTAAAAGGTAGACTAGAAGTGTTAGTTCGAAGGACGATGTCCAATTCTTGAGGATTTGATCAGGAGAACATCTTGACGTTCAAGCTTACGATTTTCAAACTAATCAATTGTTCCAAAGTAGAAGTGACATGTTTGCATTTTTCCATATTCTCTTGTCTAGGGTTTGAGCGTCTACCTTACTAGCTATGAAAGGTTAAGAAAAACCTTAAGTTCAAAAAAAAAACACTAAGAAAAAACTTCCTACAATGACATCCACCCCCCCCCCCCACAACAAATAAAAACAAGTTTTGGGTAAAACAATACTTTATTTCTGTCATAAATATTTGATTTGTTGGAATTTTTTCACACATAGTAATTGTTTTATTATTGGAAGTGTGCAATTTTTAAGTACAACATCGATATTTGGGGTTGAACTGATTAAAAATCATATAGGGATATAGGTCACTAAAAATAATAAAGTATGATGTAAATTTACAAAAAAACATCATTGGTTATAAGACACAAGACTAACACATCAATTTACAAGAATCGGAAAGTGTATAATATAAAGAAGATTTAATACGAGGAAATGATACAATTATGAGACAATTTTATCCATTTTCATATATAGAACAGTAGTAATTAAGCATATATAAGACATCTAACACAAGCTTACATATAGGTTATACTATAGTCATATAACAGTAAAATAAAAGTTCTACTAATTAATTCAAACGCTAAGATAGTTTATGTAGACGGAACTAATTAACTTTAGAAAAGCAGCATCTCTTCTAGAATGATCTAATGTTAAATTAGAATCATTTATGGATAAAGCTATACGATTTACCATCTAAGCAAAACCCAAACGGAGCTCTAGATCTAGATCTTGCTTTGACTCGTTCATCACACCAATCTCGAGGTCCAAGCTGATGATTTCTCCATTTTTTAAGAAGCTGCAAGCATCTTTCTTGCACAACCTGTTGGCTTCTTCGGCCTCTAGTACAAGAGATGGCTTCATAGACTCACAAGTGTTTTCTGGTAGATGTTTAGACTTGGGGCTCAAGGAACGGGCCAAACATGGCCCATAACCAGGTGAGGAAGGAGGCGAAAGGGTTGGGAATAGAGTTAGAGGAGGATGCGGAGGAGGAGAGGTTACCATGGAAGAGTAAGAGTAATTAGGGTTAGGGTAAGGAGGAGAAGGTGTTGAAGATGATGATGAAGACTGTTGTAATCTAAGTCTGGCTCTGTCTCTTCTGTGAACATTCATGTGTCCACCAAGTGCTTGAGCCGATCTGAATTCCCTTTTGCAGAAGCTGCAAGTATAGGATCTTGGTGGCCATGCAAACCCTAGAAGATACTCATGATCCTGTTGGTAAGTATCATAATCTCCACAGCTCCATGGTGAAGTTCTTGAGCGGCCATAGAAGTTGTTCCTCCACTCTATGTTGTTTGATCTTTCCATATCTGAGTTTTTTCCTTGTTAGCTAAGTGCTTAGGTTACAAAGTGGAAGCTAATTAAGGGAGTACGAGCAGTGATTTGTGGCACATCAGTTTATAAAAGCAAAGTGTTTGTAAGATCTGAAAAGATGAACTCACTTTTCCCCCTGGAAAAAACCTAAGATCTATGTATGTCTGACTCTTGAGAGAGAGGCAGACAGATAGAGAGAGAGAGGAAGATAAATGTGTATGATGATAGAGGGGTGGGGCTCTTCGGTGTTAAGACTGTGAAAGAGACTGATTATTGGACGCATTATCAAAGCCCCATCATAGAATTAATAAAGAAATAAAATTATGTGTGTGGGGACATTTATTAAGCAAGCTTCTCCATGATTTGATTTATGGAGGTGACATAAGTTCATTAATTACATCTAAATTATACTACGTTACTTTCGTTAAATGAATTTTTAAGTTGAAAGATTTATATTGAAATTTTTTTGTCGTAAAATCATTATTGCTTTTTATACTATGCAAGTAATATTTATTATTATTATTATAATTATTATTATTATCTACAAAACAAATTCACAACAAAAAATGAAAAAAATACAACTACAGTTTTGACAGGATCTTAAACTAAAAGACAGAGTAGCAAAGTAAATTTACATGAAGGAAAATAAAGTTAAAATAAAGATTTTGAACACAAAAAAAATCGTAATAATACATAAATAAGACTCCCCATAGAATCATGTATTGTAGGACTCTAACTAATTTTTGTCACAAGGAAAAAGAAAACCCATTATAAGAAACCTCAACACATACATATTTTCGAAAAAGGTGAACAAAATAAATAATAGAGGGAGATGGGTAAAAGAGGTAGAAATGAGTGATGTGATTTAACTTTGCAAAGCACTATAATAAAAAATTGAATTCATTTTGTAATCATGTTTTAAAAACCAAACCCTATAAAATCATATAAATTACGTAATGACTAAACGACATGTATACATCAAGCAAGTATAGGATTTTTGCTATGGACGAAAACATGATGAATCAAAAATTATCAAACTTGTTAACACCTGTGACTAATTTGCAACAAATAAACAGGAAGAAAAACATCTGTAATTTCATAGAAAAATTACAAAAAAAAACTTTTTGTATAGAGTTCAAAGTATTTGAAACATACACAGCAGTAGTCATGAGAAAACACTGTTTATAAACCATAGTTTTCTCTATAAAGTAGTAAATGTTTGATTAAAAAGGTAGAGAAAAGAGTGATGGGTAAATATGTGAGAGATGGGAAGTGTATAAATAAGGAAAACCTCGGCGAGCAAAGGACACATTATATCAAAAGCTTTATACCAAAAGTGGAAAAGTGGATGTTCCTTTCTCCCAAGGTTACTTTATTTATTTTTTGTATCAATTATCATCTTTACAATCATCCTCCCTAAAGCTTTTCTCGTGAGCCATGTATTGATATTTTCTTGTTAGCAAATCTAAGAAAACGACGCACGTTATTATTAGACTTAGGTCGTTATGCTTTCCTCCAACTTTTTATTTAATGTTATATGCATACATTGTCTCTTTCTTTTGTTATATAGAGTTAATCTATCGCCATGAGTCCTGGATCAATTCCTTTCAACATGTGTTATGTTTGCTCAAATTATAACCCCTCACCTGACATTGATTCCATCGTTAGTTATTGTAAATATCGATGTTTACTTTTTCAGTAGTTTAGTTTAATATAAGTGGAACATTCATCTGTTGGTGGGAAATTAAATGTTTGAACTGTATAATTCTTTTTCAGTTTTTGGTTGCTTAAATAATAGAGGAATATGTGAAGTTAGTAAAAATTAAGGACATAACGAAATTTGAGACGAATATGTGAGGTTGAATTGGGTCAATGATTCCCACTGATTCAATTTGTTTTCTAATATCCAACCCGGGTCAACCCAATCTTATGTCTATATTAGTCTCTTCAATTTTGTAGTACCATATTATTATCGTAAACTCATATGAGAATTTTATCACTGATTTATTATTTAGGATTTTACGTTTTAATTGCAGTATAATCTAAAGAAAAATCCTAAAAATTATATTTTTAACTCAAAGTGAGCATGTGTATTCTTTCGAATGCTCCCACATATTTTACATTGAGTAGACACTACTTAGTGACGTTATGATGAACCTTTCAAGCATATGATAACTTTGGATTTGGACCTACGTAAAGATTGGACCTTAGGGTCTGAGTATTTTAAATCTTCGGCTGCATGTAATTCAATTATCAAGTCAACCTAAATTAAGTCTTTCATAAATTAAACTTAGGATTGTTTTTGATATGTACGACTAATTTCTACCATACACAGTGAATTTGCATTCATGTCCCTTTAATCTTAAAAAAAGATTTGTCTACATTTGAAAAATAGATTTAGGTCGTAAATTTGAGGTAGGAACTATATGTTCAATCTTGTAAAATCGAATGCTGTCTATATATGTCTGAACCCTTTACCTTTAGATATACAAGTGGGAATGGTTTCAAGCCACAAGCCACAATGCAAATACTTTGGAGGAATCGTACAATCACAAAGCTCAACATTCACCAACGAGGAAAGTCTCATTTAATACACATCCAACTGCTTCATATATATCCACCCAATATGAACATATCTCACAACTGTCGAAACAGAAGAAATTATCTAACCATCTCACTTCGTTCTTTCACTCATCTCGTTGAAAGCCAACCTTTGTTACATATTGTCACATTTCACCGATTTGAAAAATTAAAATATTTTGTTCAAAAAATATATTAAAAGATTTATTTAATACAAAAAGAGAAAAAATGATCCTACTCAGAAACTATCTTTCCAAAAAGTAACTTTTTATATATTCATGCTACTTAAGACAAAATAAATATATGACAAGATAAATTGATAACCAAATTCATAAATCTGACCTCCTTGGAAAAGTGCCTTGATTAGTTATTCAGAGAAGAGTATCGAATGAATAAAATTAATATATCATATTCATATAGAATGATAAGACATAAAAGTTTCACGGAATTAACCAATGGATTTCTTAAGGTCCCCAGCCTTAATTAAATAAATTTATGGTTATTTTCTTAAGGTCTTTATACAGTTTCTTTTGTCAACATCCTTATTTGCACAAAACAACAAACATCCTTAAATATATTAATTTACAACCACACAGATATATTAGTAATTCACATGTGTAATCTGTTTGAAATAGAGTGTATGTGTGAGATTAGTATATCAATGAAAGATTTATTACATAAAATGATTGAAGCTAACCAAAAACAATAAAAAGGTATAAATTAGATCATTTTAGAATTAACATAAATTTAGTGATCTAAAAAAAGATTTGCCACCAGTCTTCTTGAAAAGGAAAAAATGGATTTCTGAACAAAAAATAAAAATGCATGTCTAGTTTTAATTTTTCATGACCTTTTTGCCAGTTTCAAACTTTGAGGAAAGTCACTCCACTATTTTAAAAAGTTTAGCAAAAAAGGTTCCCGTTGATTTTCTAATTATAAATTGTTTTAAATTTATACAAATCTGAAATGATCTGTTACCTGGTGAATGAAGTGAAAAAGAGGGGAAATGTTAGGACAGGGTGAGTGGAATTAGACAAAAGATTCTGCCAAAATTAGAAGAAGATATCTCTCATCATCGAAATGACACATCCAACGGCTGAAAGAGAAAGTCTAACAAGTCTAGTGGCCTCTCTCTCTCTCTCAACTTGTATTTTTTTTTACCATATGTGAATAAAGGGCCTCGACTTACTTATAGCTTACTTGATCGAAGTTGCAGAGTTTACTCGCAGTAGTTCCCACCCTTTATTGTTTATTGCATTAGCCCCCTCCCTACGTTTTTCTACATCATCACTAATTTTCTAAATGCTTTATGAAAAGACTCTTTTTATTGTTTATTTTCTTTCAGAGTGGAAGTGTCTTTCATTATTTGTGAAGGTTTCGTTTTTATCTTTTTCCACATATTGTTTGGCTTTCATGGTTAAGATTGTGATTGGCTGTCACGGTTTACGTCAAGGTCATCTTAAATTTTATAGTCATACTCTTTGTCTTTCTTTTTAGGTTCGGTTGAAACCTAAAGACGTCAAATAGAACTATAGAAATTAGAAAGTTCGTGGCAGCAAATGATGGTCGAAATGGAAGCGAATAGAGCTTACACGAATAGTCGAGTAACAAGCTGGTTCCATAACCAAAACAGAAAAAAAAAAAATCCAGATATAGGTATATATAATACTCCGATATCTGGACTATAACTGAGGAATTTTGTATTCTATAGATCTTAAGCAAGTTACTAAATTAAACCAGATCTTTATAAGTGAAGAGAACGGACTCTCACTTTTTGACCTTTTAAATTATTAGCATTCGTCTAGCAACTAAAGAAAGTGGAATAATTATAGACACCTCATAAAATAAATGAAATAATGGAGGGTGGGATGGGAAAAAGAAGTGGATTGGTGGAAATGAGTGACACGATTGAACTTTACCGAACACTAAAAACAATTCCTTGTAAAGCATATTTCTGAATAAAGTTATATTTGTTTTGTTGAAAAAGGTATGACTTGCGCAACTTCTTCATTCATGCTGGTTTGTTAACCCTCTTGCGGATGCATTGTTATTTGTCTTCTGTCTAAGTTCTCTTCATTATCTATATATAATATCATCATCACAAAAAAGGGTAAAATGATACAGTTATTCGGTTCATCAAGGTTCTTGCCAACATAATTTCTCCCAAGAATTTTGGTGCACTTTAGTATATTCTTGGAATGGAAGCTACTCGCAACTCATCGGGACTTTTGCTCACATAAACCAAGTACATCACAAAATTGTTCAGAAAAAGAAAAGAAAAAAAGGCAAATGCAATGTCCGTACTCTTAGTCCATAAGCCTGAAGGATGCTAATCTAGAAGACAAAAGGATTACCTTCTTACTTTCTGAACTTCATATACCGACACCAACATTTTGAGATAATGTAGGAGCAAC